CTCGCATGGCGGATGCCTCCTCATCATGCTGACATCACTGTGGACCAGCCAATCGGCCACTTTGCTCTGCGCTGACACCATCTCTGCAGGCGCGGCAGTCTTGGCTGTGTAGGCCTGGCCTTTCCTCTGGCGGGTGGAGAACTTGGTGACGTGGTCTTTGATCTTGATCTTGCCGGGCATGCAGTCATCAAACTCGATGGTGAAGGAGGCGTGGCTCTGGACAACGGGCGGGGTTGGGGTAGGAGGCAAAGGTAGGGCAGGGGGGTTGTCAGTGTCCTTGGTGGGGATCTCATGGAGCTCTTCCTCGGTTGTTTTCTGGTGCTGGAAGTCCTTGGTGGGAATCTCGAAGTAGCCAGGCTCACGGTGGTAGGAAGGAAAGACAGTCTTTGGTTGGGGGTCTGGGAGATGGCCAGGAAAATCTGGATTTATAGAAAGAACATTGTTCTCTACATGTCAGAACATAGAAACCTTCGGTAAGATGGTCAAGATGTGTCTACCTGAGTGAGGCTCTTCACCCCCTTGAACTTTGCTCCCATAATCCTCCTCTCCCCACCAGGAAGGCTGGCCGTATAGAGGAGTGGGCCGGCTCCCAGGAGTCTCTGTCACAGACAGACATGTTCAGATGGTTCCGAACAGACATACATCTGCACTGTAGAACACAGTGGTGCCCCCAGCTGATGGAGGCCCCTCTGCAAACCGGTTAGCTGAAAGGAGTCTGTCCTCCTGCTATCAGTCATGAACAATAAACTGGACCACTTGGACCTCAGACCCAGTTCTTCCTGTTCGAACCGAGATCAACCGAGGTTCAAAGGAGCTGGTTCTACCAGGTTCTACCAAAGGCCAGGAAACAGGAAAAGTCTCTATGATCTAAGCTCCCGATGTTCTGATCCGTCTGTAGACATCAAAGAAATCTCGATCAGAACATCAACAGGAAGAAGAGATCCAGCTACAGAACCAGAACCACTGACCACCAGAACCACTGACCTAACTGACCCAGAACCACTGGCCTAACTAATCCAGAAACTTTGGCCTAACTGA